AAAGCTTGAATTTTGGTTTCACCTTCCATGAGTCACTACAGCGTAGTCTCACAAGTAGTCATCAACAACCAATAGCAAAGAAACATGTCGCCGTATTCAATGAAGTCACGGGCTTTTGTTCTCGGCGTTCTTGAGAGGACAAAATATTGTGTTTGACCTGTCTTACTCGTCGGACTTGCTTTGAAGCGCACAGTCAAATTTCCCACAGAATTGTTTTCTTGCGTCCAAATCGTGGTAAGTTGATAAATGTTATGTTCCGTTTCTTTGTTTGACAGGTTTATTGCAAGTGTTTCTACATGTTGTTTCTCAATTAGGTTTTTCACTTTGTCGTTTTAACAGGGCTTGGGCTTGATTTGTTTTTTGTTTTTTTTCTTTTTTGCTGCTGTTGTTGCTTTTGCTGTTGTCGGTTTTTTTTTTAAATCAGATAATCACATTTTTCAATCAGATAATCAAAACACCACTTCTGCTGATTTACCGTCCATTTTCCCACGCATCGTCGATCGATTTATTATTAACAAGGAGCAATAGAACTTTCGAATCAGTTTTCTCACTCTGGGTTAGATGACCAGTTTGATGTGAAGCTTATCCGGTAAATCTCTATCCAGTCTATCACCAGTGACACGTTGATTCTAGAGAGTCAAAGAATAAAAGAGGAAAAAATAAGAGAAGTCTTTGGGGGTTTTTTTGGAATTGGAATTTGATCTTTGAATAGAAAATCATCCCCATTTTCCTTCTAAAGCTCACCTGTTATCGACATCTAGTATCTTATCTACAATTCAGTTTATTTAACGTGATTATAGCGCACACACGTGATTTACGTTAGGCTAATGAGTAGTCCCCGGATATTTTCAAGTGGTGATTATTTAGTCGAGTTCTAAAACCGACTTTGTGTCCTGGCACCAGGCAGTGTTCGTTTCTTACATTTATTTTTCTCTTAAACAGTTGAGTAATTTGTGAATTCAAGTTAATTAATATTAATACGCTGACGAATGTAATCAATATTATTGTTGTTATTCTACTTAGAAATACTGTGCAAGCCTGAACGAACTCTTTTTTTTAAGAGTTTTAACTTTAGCGCTTTACAATTATTTTAAAAACCACCTTTGTGTTTTCTTTCTTGTTTTTCACTTGAATCTCCATATATTTATACCCATGGGTCCTCTCTTGTTTACGGGTTTTAGGTTTGTGTTTTGAAAACACTTTTTCGTGATGTTCCATTTTCTAATATTAGACCAAAGTGCAAAGTTTGAAGTCGAAAAATAAAGTTGTGAAACAACTAACACCAAACTTTTGTCAACTACTATCACTACCCTTAAACCACGAGGAAATAACTAAAATCTTTTTCGAGCTCGGGTAGATGAATTATCTCTATTGTTGAAACTACAATGTGAAACTGAAGAAACTTGATACCAAAGATCATGAGTAATCGTCAACCAATAGCAAGGTAACATGTCATGTTATTCAATGAAGTCAGGTTTTGTTCTTGGCGGTCTTGAATAAATAGAACATTGTGTTTTAAGTCTCTTGATATTCGGACTTAGGTGTAATTCCCACATCATCGTTTTGCAGTTTCTCAATCGTGGTAAGTTCTCTTCTATAGAGTATGTGAGCTGATTCTCTGTACTACATGTTTATAGCCTGTGTTTTGCAAAAAGCACGGTTAATCTTCATTTTGTAGTTTTAAGGGGGTTAGGGCCTGACTTCGAAGTTAATCATGATATGGAATATAAGATTTGTGATCATCATACTAACACCATGTTATTTTGCTATTATGAAGTTACTTAGAGTTGCAGACTTCATCCTTTCATCTGGCTCCGCGTTCCTTCCTAATCATTGTTTTTCCTATGGATCTTTTCCTGAAATCGAATTCTTAATGCAGGCCATTTTTTAAAAAAGACATCTGCCAAATCCGCATCAAAAATAGATTGATCCTCACCCTCGACGAAAGAAATAGCAAACATCTTGGCCACCTTTTAATGTCCAAAACGTCGTTTTATTTAGTTGAAAGTTAGTGGTGAAAATCTTATTATAGACAACTTGAACAAGGTGTTCAATTTTCGACAATGCTTTCATAAATGATCAGTTTTTTTTAACAATTTTGCACCGTTTAAACAAAACATTGCTGAATTTCATCTTATAAATAACGTTCGCTATTAATTAATCTGAAGAAGGCCAAAAGAACAAGAAGTGAAAGAATTTCACATGCAGAGAAATCTTCACGGTGTCGGTTCGAAACCCGCTTTGTATTGAAATTTCTATCCCGGCTCTTCAAATGGTCAACTTACACAATTTTAAAACCAGAACTGTAATTTATGACTAACATTGCATGACCACTAAATTCCAAAGTATCTTCCCACATGTAGACCTGGCTTTCCGTTGGAATTTGATCCTAGGTGACCCGCTTTGTTCATTTTGCTTTTTGCAAANTTTGTTAAAAATTAAAGCGACTTACCGACTAAAACCAGTTTCTCACAGCCATGTGAAACAGAAACAAGGATTGCTGGCTCAGTGGCTTGTGACGCCTCGTCAATCAAGACTCGCTTGAACACGAGCCCTTCAAGTAAAGAGGAGCCTGCACTGATGCAAGTTGTGCAAAGGATTTTACAGCTTTCCAGTATCCTTTTTGCCATCTTTTTGTCGATTCTGTTGCGGTCTCTTTTGTCAGAAACTCGCTGGCGGTATTTGGATTCGAACGTCAAACGTTCCAGATCTTTGGCCACTCTCCATCCTGAACTTCCAAAACGAACAATCTTTTCTTCTTTTATACCGTGCTCTAAAAACTTCTTTAAAAGGTTGTCTACACCCTCGTTTGTCTCTGCCACAGCAAGAACTGGATCCTCGCTACTAAGAAGCCAGCGGCGCACAATCTCTGCACATGTGATGGTCTTCCCAGAGCCGGGAGGCCCCTGTATAAGCGTTATGGCCGACACACTGGAGGTAGCTTCCTGGATAGCAGCATTTTGACTGTCATTGCCTGAAGACCACTTTAGAAAAGAAGCGTCTGGTGACAAAGACAAATCTTCATCTTCACCCGCTGCCCTTGAAGCTGAGAAAGAGGAAAACTGAAAAGAATTAGACTCTTAACGCGACAAAATGGCTTGTGGTAGTGGTTGCAGGTGGATGGTTGGAACGATTTAACGGTGCACGTGCTAAACGAACTATCTGCGGTGTATCTGAGCGCTAAAACGGGTTCAAAAGACTCGGGCAACACGCCAAACTAACCAGTGTATATTGTATTTGTAAACCAATCAGATGCATGTCTTTGCCTTGGTAAGCATTTTGGTTACCTGTTGACAGCGATCTTTCTCTCCAATATTCGTTGCATTCAGGGCAAATCAATGTAATTGGTAAGAACAACACTGGTTTTTCTTTCTGTAATTTGCTTACTGATTCTCAGACCAGTTCTTGACGAATACTAAGGACGGTGCCTGCTAAATACAAAGGTCTTTTCACCAGATTTTGGACCATATGGGAAAAGTAGATCTTAGCAAGGGCTATCGAAAACTGAGGGTAAACACGCATTTTAACTTTGAATAAAATGCCTATGTCAGCAGTTTTCTGAAAAAGAAGGAAAAGATATTTCTCCACAGGTTTCCTTAGACTTCGCCTTTAGCAAGAGAAAAGCAAACACATTTTTAAAGATCTTTAAATTACATGGTAAATGGTAGCATAAAAACCACTTTTGGTATTTTTTTAATTACAAACTCGTCGCAGCAGCGCTTTTAGCGTCCCTGACAGCTCTCCTTTGGTTTAGCCAAAACACAGTCTAGATAGCTTTTCCTCGCAACCAAAAAGCTAATCACTTGTTCAATAGGCTTACCACTTCCATTTCATAACATAAAATGTAAGGGTAACCACTCGTTTTTAAAAGTTAAATGAGTTTTTTCATCTTTTTTGAAAACGTTTTCGGCGCCCGTTACAGGTTTTCCTATCATCCCCCAATATGTCAAACATGTGCGTCTCTCGTACTTGTTTTGCGCCCGCACTACGCTATCCGCTGGTAAATGTTTACAATTAGATTTCAGTATAATGTTCTGCGGATAACAGTACGTTTTTCAGCTGGAACGCGTTAAGGTGGCTCAAAACAGTTTCCAGCGCTTTCCACGACTTAGATTTTAATGGGTCATGATAATCACTCTTTATCAAAAAATCATGGTATCAATCATGGTATCAAAAAACTACTCACTCGGCTGCTCCTCGTGAGTCCACAACATTTTGACCAATGTGATGACGCGTATCGTTGTCGATAAGAGTACAGACCACGCTAAACCACATTCGATTTGTTAATTAGCATCATAAGACGCAGATTTTGGCAAAGTCTTAAACATATTTGTACATGGGGTAGCCATCTTAAAGTTCTGAAAATTTAAGGTGGCTCTGAACCCTATGACCAGAATTTTTTACAACTTTGCTAAAGTACTTAAAGCTGAAATTGAGGGTGTATTTAGCAGGTCGTACTATTGCTATAGTAACCTGTTGTGTCGCGAAAATTATAACAATTTGTTCAGCAATGATTGGGCAGTTT